GGGTCCTTTTTCTAAACTCTAGATCGCCCCGGAACTGTGGAAATCAAGACTGATGTGCAGGGCACTCCCAAGGGTTCTACTTAGTTGCAGGGGGGGCTGGCGTCGACAGCCCCCATGCAAAGGAAGGTGAGCACCCGAACAAGACGTGAACACACCACTAACGCTACAAGCACTTATATAAACATGCAACAGACATCACTTGAGTAGACATGATGGAGCTTTTTGTGGGTGAAAGGAGCTATTATCGACTCGTGCGACACCCAAACGGGATGCCAATATACTGTACGTTGCAACCTGGATTCGCATTGGCATTTCCTGACAACGTGCTCATTCACGGTTTTGCCTTTCTATCACAAGACATATTGGTGTGCAACAATACGCTACACCTGTTGACGTACTAAAAGGAGCTACCGGGAGTTCAGCAACGCGGCGCCCGTAAGTCAACCCTAAGGAGTGTTACTAGCACTACTGTGAGGGTCACTTCAATGATACTACTACGAGTGTTCTGCTGGGAGGAATCGGAACTCGTGGTGTTTGACGCCACTGGCGTTTAAAATTGGGTGGACGGAGATTCTACGCGCAAGGCTGCGGCTAGCAGGCCAAGCACCGTGACCTTAACGACGCCAGATGTAAGGTTTAGAGTTTAGGGGTTCAGGGCTTTAGGGTTTTAAGGTTTCGAGTTTAGCCGAGACATGCCACTGGATGGAAGATAGTTGGGCGCCGGAATCTTTGCACAACATGTTCCACATTGCTGATGGACAACACCCTGCACGATCCATAGCAAAGAATACACCCAACATCCCGTTCATGAAGCCGTTTGAGGTACTTGAAACAGTGATGCGAGATTTCGCGCATCAGCAGAATTACAGGTTGCTAGCCCATGCTCAAGGCCCCATTGTTCGAAGGACCTCTTGTCTTCTTCCGACAAGAGGCGGACGTCGAACTTGAAGGTGGGCGAGCCGAGGGATGCCCTTGGATTTGGAGTAGCTTGCCGTTCTTGCTTCGGTTGTTTAGGAACTTGGAGGTTAGAGTTCAAGGCTCGTCTCTGCGTCCTTTGTTTAGAGGGTGGGGGTTGAGTGTAGGTTTTCGAGTCCAAGGCCTGGGGTTTGGGATTCAAAGCTTAAGGCTTAGGGTTCAGGGCCTTGTATGTAGGTTTAAGGCTTGGGGGTTGATGATTCAGGGTTTAGGGGTAAACCCGAAAAGACCTTTCTTCAAGCATTTTGGCTCAAATCTGGCTATATAGAGCTTCTGACAAGGTTAGACGGGTATTCCGCATCTGGAAATCGTGCCATCTGGATACATGCACTGGGCGGTGTAACCCTAAACTCTATTGCTGTCGGTAAATTACCGATCAACCTTTCGGTTTGGTTATGGCACTGGAGCCTACGTAATGCTGGGCTTAGACAATTGCGGCATTGCCTTGCGCTGTGGGCTAGGATCCAGAAGAGTCTTGAAGCTTCGTTCCCCATAGGTTTCGCGAGATGTAGCTTTCAGGACGCAGCGCGCACAAGAAAAAAACTCCGGCAACCGACGGTGCGAAAGTCCTGAGATCCCTTCACCTCAGGAGAAACTGTATTCGTCAGGCCACCTGTTGACCAATTCCCACCCCTATCAGGCTCGAATCATTGTGTGAATTGGCTTTCTGCGGGACGCTTTCCAAACTTGGGGTGCGCCTGGGGACCCTCCTGGCAACAAGGATCCTATATAAAGGACCCAAATGTACAAAACTGCCCAGCCAATTTCACCCAGACCCCATAAGCAACCGGTGCCACGGAGCGGCTTCTCCCCAGGAAGAGCGTGGCCACGTCGATGCAATGGGGTTCCAAAAGACACTATGCCAGACCCTGAAACTTCAAAATCCCTTCATTATAAGTTCAGGGTTCAGGGTGCTATGGTCACTGTACAGACTGCACTTGGCCTCCCAGGAGCATTCCTTGATTCAGGCGTTAGTTGGGAGTCTCCGGTAAGGTCATCGCTTCACGCCTTCGTTGGGTGCTTCAAGTTGCGGAGCCGGTGGGTCTCGATTTCACTATTGGCCTTGATGGCTTAGGGAATTAAAGCTTAACCTTTGGGATTAGATAAGGATTATAGTACCCCAAGAAGGGAAATGGTTGCCTATATACTCTACCATGACATGATGATCTTCATGTCGCTACGCCTTCTTTCTGGGAGCCTTAGATGCTTCGCTGGGCTCCTGCCAGTCTTACGCGACCCTAAACCCTAAACCGCTCCTAGGATTATTGAGGACGGCAACGCGATTACTTCGCGATATCATCCGACGTAGGACAGTGCGAAAGCACACTAAACTCTAAAAAAGTCCAAGCCCAGGCAAAGTCTGTCGGGTTCTTGGAGCTCTTTCGCCTCCATTCCAGCAGGGAGAAGCGCTTCTAGGAACGGAAAATCTTGTGAGTATAAGCTGACTTCGGGGTTGGTTTAAGTTTTAAGGCTTTGGGGTTTAGGGGCCTTGATTAAGGTCTCATGTCTGAAATGATCACAAGCCTTTAGAAGTCACTTGTATGGTGCTTCTGTATACTTTGTTTAGAGCTGCTATACCGGCTTTGATGCTCGCGACACAGATTTATATGAGCTGTCTCGGCTCTTTATAAGCAATGCAACTTTTTGTTTCAAACTGTACATAAAACAAACCAGTGAACGCTCTGTCGACACAGGGTTACTCACTAAACACCTAAATGCGAGGCCTACTTAAGCCTCAAGTATACAAACAACGTCCGCAAGCTCTCTGTTCCTAAACTCCGACATCCCCCACATCCCGACGAAGACACCCAAGAGACAAACCGAGCAAGACGATCGCGATATACCAATGTCCTCAAACACGAACCCTTCCGACGCTTTCAAGTTCAGGATAAAGCTTTCAAGGGCACTAAAGCTTTTCTTCGGCAGTCAGGAGTGTGAGTACTTCCCAAATGGAATCTTGTCTAGAGCAACCCCTTGCAATGATACAGAGGTGGTGTCGCAACCCAGACAAGCCGTGAACCTTTGTTCCCACGTTGAAGCAGACGGGGGTACAGCATACATTCCGTGTCGTGAAGTCTCTTGAACCTGTCGTAGTTACAACAGCCTGTCTGGGAATAAAACTTATCAGTCACTACAGAACCCTTAAGAAGCCGCATAACCCTCTTTAAAGTCTTGTTTGTGAGCCCTTATCGACCTGTGCCGAGAAACATAAACCACCATCCAGTCTTATGAAGCCCTTTATTCCCTAAGCACCCTTTTAGAAGCCGGGAAACCCTTCAAAACAGCCCCCAATAGCTTTTTTGTGCCGACGCAGGGGGCCGCTGACTCGCAGATCTCTTGTGGATGTGGAGCTAGCAGTGTTTGGGATTGTTTGGGCTCTACTAAGGATTCGGCACATGAGGCTCTGAACCCCGGGTTTGGTTTTGAGAAGGCTTGCGCGATCCCTTGAACTTGCATTTCGGTGCTCTGAGTCGGAAAGACGCGGCTGAAGAGCTTTACGACTTGACGGGGAATTCTGCTGCTCAGGCGGCTGGGGGGTTTGGGGAATCGGGCTTGCATGCATTGACGACCTTCCTTGGGAGGCCGCCGTGAAACATTTCCCAGTAGAACCCCCTAGGGAACCCTTGTAAAAGCCCTCATAGCATCCTAGAAAAACTCGATGAAAAGGCCTGGAAAGCTCTAAGCCAAACAGTACTGTAAGGCACCTAAATGACGGGTCACCTCGCGCAAATCAGCGACAAGCCGGTCCGCGCTTCGACGTGCGCCACACGTGCATAGAACTCCTCCACGGCAGCCTCGTACCTGACTTCGAGAAATGCAGGGATTAGGGTTTAGGGTTAAGGGCTTGGGTTTGAGGGTTTTTTGGGGCCGTAAGCAATGAAACAGCAGCAGCAGCAGCAGCAGCTGCAGCTGCAGCTGCAGCTGTAGCAGCAGGTCATCATGCCAAGCAACAGAATTTTGGGCATTTATTTAGGCTTCTATATTAAACCCTTGTACATAGTACCCCTTCGAGTAACCGCTATAGACCCCTTTTGAAAGGAAAGGTGGGAGCTTCTTTGCCTAGCTGCAGCTTCTGGTCGCGGAGGGTCAGCGCAGCGACTTTTCTCTTGGCATCCTCGCGGCTGTTGAGTACTACTTCTAATTTTAAGCGAAATTTAGGGTTCTAAAATTAGCAGGCTTCGTCGTAGAGTTTTACTATACAGGTTGTCGAACAGTTTTACTTACAGGGCTTTGGTAGGGCGTGCTTCAAGGATCGGAGGAACATGGCCGGCACCTCTATAGGCAGGGTAACCCGAACTGCGGTGACTTGCCTAACACGCCTACTTTCAACTTCCCCTGCACCTGGAAGTACGACAGGCATAAGGCTTTAGCGTTCCTGACCCACCAGAAAAGTTGAAGAAGGCTTTCTAAGGCTTTGGCATTGGATCTTCGAACCCTGTTCAAGTCAACGCCAAGTTGTGCAAGTAGAGTTGACAACTAGTATCCTGAAACTGCCAAGTTGCGAAGTTATAGGTGCGTCTCTAAACTGCGTGTGAAGTGAAAACAAGAATGAACTGTTCTAAAATGGCACTGGGGATCCACAGAAGGAACCCAATTTAGAGCACTGCCCAGCACTCCTCCGAGAGCACCCTGGAGCTGTGCGTTGGCACGCCATGGCGGAGATGCACACTCCTCGGTTGCGAACTTTCCCTAATTGCTCTGAAACAGTCGCCGACCCTAAACCAGGTAGGGCAATGTTGCTCTGTGGTTAGAATCACTCAAAGGGTCCGGGAACTGGCAAGTTCTACACCAACTAGATCTAGCTCTCCAACCAGTTGTTCTGTAAACTCAGGGTTCTACCCTTAATGGCATTCTCTAAACCCCCGACACTAAACTCCTAAACCATCACCCTGAAACCTTGAGGGTCAGGGTTTAGGGCTTAGGGGTTTAGGGGTTTATAAGGGTTTAGGGGTCCTCTAGGGGTCCAGGACTTTAGGGCTTTAGGGTTTTAGGCTTGAGCCCGGTGCTTCAAACAGTCAGGACTCTTAAAGGCGGATTGGTCGGCACAGTCGCAGTTCGTCATCGGCAGCTGGAGCTGATAGAGAAGCATGCACACCGAGGCGACGTAATGCTCGGAGATGCCAACAAAAAAGAGCGATCGCATGTTTGCCTGAGTGGGTCTACTACACGCCCGCGGCATTCCAAGAAATTGCTGTCTTAATGACTCCCGTGGGTATACACTACAAGCAATTATGGGCAGTTCTCTAAATCATGGTCCCGAATTTGCGGTCTTTTTTAGAAGGGTGCCGTACTATGTTGGGGACCCCGAAATCAAGCAGAGTTAAGGAGTTGGGCTTTGGGGAATACTAAAGCGTGGTTAAGAATCCATTGGAGTTATATTCTACTGAACCTCTACAGCAAGCCTAACAACACTCAAGAGACGGGGTGAGGGGTTTGGCGATGAGCTGAGGGACCTAGGGGCTCACCGAGTGCCATCGAGGCCTTGAGGATAAGAAGGGTGGGGCTTTCACGCTTTGGCTTGAGCGACTAAGTAGAGCTTTAAGCCCTAAGACCCCAAACCCCAAACTCTAAACCCTAAAAACCTTACCCTTACAAACCCCACAGCTGTACCTGTTCACTTCGGAAGTTGCAATGGCTTCAGTCAAATCGTCGGTCTGGTTCCTCAGCCTCCGGTGCCCGCCTTCGGGATACGCCGAATCGTTACATGTCCTGGGCTGCTCTTGGTTTCGGGGTTTGGGGTTCAGGTTTCAGGGCCTTGTACACGTCTCTTACGCGGGTTTATGGGACTTCTCCTTGTCAAGTTTTCCTATTGTCTTGTCTATCTGCATGCGTGTTTGCATATCCGGTGCTTGCTTCATGGTGTATGTCCTCTGCACTTCCTTACTTATTATGTTTACCTTTGAGTGTGCTGCCTGCGGCTTCTGCTTGCTTACTACATGGCGATACTAACTGCTTTGGCCAGTGCAGGCCAGTTTCAAGTAGCGCACCTGCATGTTAAGCGGGTGGTAGCCTCGGCAGAAAACTGGACGGCAATCAAGAATCCTAGATGCTAAATCGCCGGTTCGGGGCGTAAGGGGCTTGAGATGTGGGGATTGGGGCTTCCTTGGATGATCTTTTGACCATCAATTCAGGATTGGCGCAGCTCCCGGGGATGATTCTAACCGGGTATACGGTATTCCAATAATTATAGTACAGTATAGCCCCAAACCCTGTTCTAATATTCAAGGCCCTGGAATTACAGGTTTCAGGGTTGGGCTCTGATACCCTCAGTACCATCGCTTTGAACAGAAACTTTTCAGCGAGCCCCCCCAAAGACCCATCAGCCGCGAGGCAATTGTAGTACTCCTCAGTGTTTTCGGAAATGAAATGCTCCAGCCATCGACTCCTGGGTTAGCACGCATCCCCGTAACTCTGAGGGTAGGGTTTCCGAATTAGAGTGGTAAGGCTCAGTCTGGGTCTAGGGCTCAGGTTTTAGTTTCAAAAACCCTTCATGACCCCTCTCTACAGAACCCGGAACAGCAAACCCTTATAAAACCTACGACAAACCCTCGCTTCAGAACAAAACCCAAGGCTCAAGGCAGGCATGTAGCCACTGGTCAGGTTCTCTTCCGGATCTCGAGGGAAGTCCGTTTCCAGCGTCATGTCACGGCCTGGGCTAGACCGGTTTAGGGGTTTTTAGGTTTAGGGTTTTTAGGTTTAGGGTTTAGGGTCTTAGGGTTTAGGGTTTTAGGGTTTAGGGTTTAGGGTTTTAGCCTTCTTTCGTCGGGTTCCTGTTCAGGGATATATAGAAATCTGAGGCTTAGGGTTTGGCTTTGGGGGGGGTTCCGTTTGCGTGGCCCCTGACACGTTTCTAACGGCTTGGGCTTTCGGCTTGAGTCTGAAGGTTCAGGATTTCCAGCTGGAGGTGTAGGCGAAGGAACGTTGTAAAATTCAGGCTTCCGGAAAGTCACAAGCCAAGCACGGAGGAGTTTAGAAACTTTGCACCAAGCGGCCAAAAGAAGTGTAGCTACACTCCAGATACAAGGAGTAGACATGGTCCAGCGGATTTCGAAAGGTGGCGGCAATGTGCTCATCGCCTTCACCTGAAAGATCCCAGAACTCCATAATTCAAAGAAATACACCTGAAATCATATTGAGGAGCTTCTAATCTAATAGTCCTAAAACTAAAACCTTAGGCCAAAGCTCGACCCGCTCGTAGCACCCCCCCCCCAGAACGAAGGAATACACCTGACATCCGGCCTGCAGAGATTCACGCATGCTCCTTCAATGGTTTGGGGTTTGGGGTTTAGGGTGCATAGGGTTTAGGGTTTAGGGTTTAGGGTGTAGATTGAATTACACCCTTAAACAACCCAAACCCTCATACTCTTCTACTATGAATCCCTTTAGGGCATATGAACCTTAAACCCTTTTAGGAACCTCATCTTTTTTCAAAGCCCTAAATCCTAAACCATGAACCCCATGAACCCTAAACCCCAAACCCTAAGCCCTAAACCCTAAACCGCAAACCCTAAACCCTCAACCCTAAACCCCAAACCCTGAGCCCTAAGCCCCGCCTCTCAGCACATAGTAGCACCTCTCATCGAAACCCGAAGAGACGTGGCGGAAGTTCACGCCCCGAGGCTTCAGCTGCTTGTAAAGCGACAGCCCGGCGGTCTTCGGTATATGCCTTGTAGGGTTTAGGGGTTTTTTGGTTTAGGGTTTGGGGTGTAAGGCTTGTTGGTCTAGGGTTTGGGGTTTAAGGCTTTTTGGTTTAGGGTTTAGAGTTTAGGGTTTTTTGGTTTAGGGTTTAGGGTTTTTTGGTTTAGGGTTTAGGGTATATGCCTTCGAAAACCAAAAAATTCAAAGCTAAAGCTTATAAGCTCAACTCAGCCGCCGCAAGTTCGTTTGACAACAGACAGGCGTATGGAAACCAAAACCCTCAAGCTGATGAACTGAACTTAGCTGTAAGTTGTAAGAGTGGCCTTTTGAAGAAGCGCCATAAACCCCAAGCACCTACAGCTTACCAACTCAACTTTTTGGTGGTATTATGAGAGCCCGCGTATGGGTACTATGACGATACTATAAAGGCCGTTTTAAGGGTACTATAATGGGCCAAGATGCATCTGCGAGATCGTGGCATTTCGGTCGAGGACCGCCACCGTCTTCTGCCGCTCACGCGGAAGGCGACGAGAAGCCGCGACCGACAACAAAGATGCCGGGTCTGCGGAGACCTACAAAAGTCCAGGAGCTAGGACTTTGGGTTTACCTGTAATCGAAAAGCCCTACCTTTTTAGGGGTTCCTTACTATGGTTTCTATATATTGTTCCTGAAAAAGGTAGGTCTTTTCGGTTACAGGTAGGGTTTATGATGCAGGAGCCTAGGATTTACGAGGGAACATTCAAGTTTAAAAGGGTCTAAGGCTGAGGATTTAGGGTTCAGGGTTTGGGGTGTAGCGGCTTACAGGATCACGAACCTAGTAAGTACGCCAGAATGTCTGGATGCACTACCATCCAGAAATTAGGGCCCCGAAGACCATCCTTGACATGGGTGTTGGGGCCTACCTCCATGGTTTATAGTAATAGTATTTGGATACCATGCTGAGCTAGGGCTTGCCCTGTAAAAGTTCTGAAAATGCTCGAATGCAAGATGCTCTTCCTATCCCAATATACTCAATATACGTCAGGTTACGATCGTCATACATGATGACGTATAGCGCCAATCTAGAGACTTATACCCCCTAAACCCTAAACCCTAATACTCTGAACCCTAAATCTGATACCCTAAACCTTGCACCCTAAACCCTAAACCTTATACCCCAAAAGCCCCTAAACCTACCCCTGAACCCAGGGAGGCCGAGCGCTTCGTCCGTTCTCCTTGAAAGGGCGCTGGTAGAGCTTTGGGCTGTAATATCGAAGCCTGAAGACTTGGCAACTCTATTCCTTGGGCACCCTTCTTTCGAATGTACCATCATGTTCCCCAGAGCCCTAATGTAGGGGCCTTAATAATTACAATCGGTTTTGGGGGCTCCTTACTATCATTATATTATAATATACTCCAAAAACCTATTCTAACTACTAAGGCCCCTATATTGCTCTTTGTTGAGGCATCCTATTCTAATTATAAAGGCCCCTATGCTACTCTTTGTCAGGGCATCCTAAACCCTAAACCCTAAACCCTGTATTACTCTTTGTTAAGGCCCCTGGCCCAGGCCCCTATATTACTCTTTGTTGGGGCATCCTCCCATCTTCGGCTCCCGCGGCCTCCGAGGCGCACTGCGGGCTTGCCGGCACCAGGAGAAGCAGGACGACTCCAAAAAAGAGCTCCGGCGGGAGGTGTGAGAGGCGCCCCATCTGCATGTAGGGCTTTGGGGTTTAAGGCTTAGGGTTTAGAGCTTGGGGTTTAGAGTTTAGGGCTTAGAGCTTAAGGTTTAGGGTTTAGTGTTTGGGGTTTAGAGTTGGGGATTAAGGCTTGGGGCTTAGAGTCCAGGGTTTAGGGTTTGAGGTTGAAGGCTTTGGGATGCCGGATCCTAAGGCTTGTAGAACCCAGGGCGGAGGGCTTTTGGGCTGATCTGCGTGGGGCTGTGAGGCTTAGAGGTTGGGAGGTCATAGGAGTGCGGTGGGTTGGGGGTCCAGGGACGTACCCTTAAAAGCTTTAGGGTTCCCTCATCTCGGGGAGCTAGCTGGAGCCGAAACGACAAGCACTTGCTACAGGGCCGAATGCTCTGGTGGTGAACACCAGGCAAGATGGACATTATAGCCGCCATGGCGGTTCGTCCTATGTGTCCCTTATGGGACCTCGAAACAGCGTTCACGGAGACTCCAATATCACTTAACGAAGGAGTACTCCTTTAACTACAGTAACGAACGTCATGAATTGATTCCGGTATCAAACCCATCTAAAACCTGAAAATCTTCTCACAGAACTCTTCGACAACGGATCTGCAACTAGCAGACGAGCCCTTAGCACTCAGCTCATTCTACACGGACTATAGGGGATGCCGCTAACGCTTCAAGCCCCTATGGTCCCTTGTTCAACCCTTTAGTGAAGCATCTCGTCTACATGGGATTCTGGGCGCCGCAACTCAAGCCTAGACCCTAAACCTGAAAATCCCGAAGCCCTCGAACCGAAGTCCCTGTGACCCGGGTACAAACAAGGTACCTACACTGGCAGGACTTATAGCGGGGTTGTAAGCACAGTCAAAAAGTGCAACGCCTTATCGCCAAAAGGCTAAGCCCGCAACCCTAAACCCTAAACCCCTAAACCCTAAACTCTGAGCCTTGAGCCCTAATTCCTCAACTCTGACCTGGAAGCCCAAAGCCCCAAAGCCTAAAACCTCAACCCTAAGCGCTATAACTAGTACTAGTTACGTTTATCCATATGCATATGCATAATATAAATACACGCTACAAGCACTCCCCACCTCGGAGCCGAGTCCCAACAATGCTAGAAGTTTGTGTCTCCATGGGGCTTTGAAATTTGAGTAGAAAGGGGTTTAGGACATTATCAACTCTTTCCATCCCCCGAAAACCCTAAACCCCGACTGCCTAGAGGTTTTGGGGGTTTAGGATTTAGGGTTTAATCAGAACTCTGAGAGTAATCTAACCCAAATAGTTCATTCTGGAAGCCCGGAATGCTCAACAACAAAACACCCCAAACCCTGAAGCCGAAGCCTTTTTTTTATGCGCCGCGCGCTTGAAAGGTCGGGCATCCACACGGTTTAGGGTTAGGGTTTTAAGGAGTTTCGGGTTTAGGGTTTAGGGTTTAAGGGGTTTCGGGTTTGGAGCTTTGGGGCGTGGGCTTGGTTCTTCTGGGCGTGGGCACCGGATTGGGCTGAGGGTGTAGCGCTTAGGGGTTAGGGTTCAGGGTTTAGGGGTTTAGGGTTTAGGGGTTTAGGGTTTAGGGTTTAGGGTTTAGGGTTTGGATTGATGATGCCCGTGGCAATTCCTTTGGCCATGGCCCAGTGGTCGTAGAGCACCCAGACTTCACCTGAGTTGCGCGTGGACGTAGAGCCCCTAATTATACTACTAAGGGGTACTTTAAAGGAACTCCCTAAACCCTAAACCCTAATCTTTTCTACAGGGTTTGGCAACAATGGTTTGTCTCTCTTGGGGCTTATAACTACAATTTATAACGGTTCTATAAGGCCTTGTGGGCTTTGGGGTTGCAGGTGTCGGTCTGGGCATTTCAGTGATTTAGGATCGAGGATTTGCGGCTTCAGGCTTGAGGGTTGAGGTAGGTAGGTAGGTAGGTAGGTAGGTAGGTAGGCAGGGTGGTAGGTCGGTGGTCGGTGCGTCGGTGGGTCGGTCGGTCGGTCGGTCGGTCGGTCGGTAGGTAGGTAGGTAGGTAGGTAGGTAGGTAGGTAGGTAGGTAAATAGGTAGGTAGGTTGGTTGGGTGGTTCGTAGGTACACACGCAATAAGCAGATAGGAAGCT